GACAAATCAATTTAGAATGAATCACAAAAATCTTTATTTCTTTTTCTTAGACACTGAAAGACTGAGCATCATAACCAGCAGAAATGAATCCTTTTTAGAAGTTTTCTTTTTCTAATTCTTGTTAAAAGACAGAAATGCAGAGAAGAGAGTAAAACCAGGAGCAGAGTCTCAGAGAGTCAGATCAGGACTGAGAACACTGGTTTGTCCACAGTGTCTCTGTGAGTGGAGTGTGGGAGCCCTGGGTGGCCTCACAGGTCCCAGTGGTCACCTTCATCCACTGGTCAGCAGGGAGCCTCAGCGTGCTGCTCCAGCTGTAGTGGCCGTCCTTCTCCATCAGCCCACGGCTCCTGCTCTCCTCCCCGCTGCTGCTGCTGCTGATACCGCCCACCTTCCAGGACAGAGTCCAGTCTGAGGGGAAGCCCTTGTTGGCCAGACACGTGAGCGTGGCCTTACCCTGCTGCAGCTCCTGGCTGGAGGGAGGCAGCACTGTCAGGGTGGGGGGGGCAAAAACTGTAGGAGACAGCAGTCACTTTAGAGGACAGTGAGGAGACAGATGTCAGTCCAACAACACACACCCAGACACATTTCCTGTGTGAGAGCTGATTTAATGCTTCATTAGTTCTTGGTTTCACTTCCTTTAAAAAGATTCTCTGAGCAACAAGAAAGATTCATCTGAAATACTTTGAAATACAAAAACTTAACTCTAGTGAATTTCTTCCTTTTTGTACTAATATAAGAAAATTAAATAAACAGTTTTTTTAAGTTTAAATAAATATGACTAATAAAAATGTTAATTTTAAAAATATATAAGATCATAAATTAAAATGGAGAAAAAATTGAAATCTCATTAAAAACTTTCAGATAGATTTTTTAAAAGATTGAACGGATGAAACATTTGGATTTTAATCTAAAAAGAGTTTCATATAAAAAATTAATTAAAGAATTTTAAACTGTATTCATATTGTTGAAATACATTTTAGGCACACTAATATTATTCGACATTCTGTAAAAATTAAGTAATAAAAACTTACACTAAAAATAGTTACAAAATTGATCAATGCATGGCAAAAATTTAAATCATTTACATTAGTGCAATTAGACAATTTAATATTTTACAATAATTGAGGAATATAATTTAGGCATGAAACAAAGTATAGCAAAATTAAGTATACCTGATATAAACATGAAAAAGTAAAAACCAATACTTTATCCTACTGTAGTACATTATTAAGTACAAAAAACATGGTAAACAGATCTCTGTAGTACAGTTTAATTTTAGTATTTCAGTAAAATACTTACCTCCAACATCGAGTCTGGTTCCTCCACCAAAAGTGTACCACAGTGATACAAAGTCTTTGAGGCGTCGTACAAAAACCTCTCAGTGTAGAGACACACAGCTCTGACTCTGAAACACACAAACACACAAACTCACTGAGACACCAGAAGGAGTCTGTTTGTAACATTTAGCAGCTGACAACAACAAATAAAGGCTTCATTTGGAATTTAGAGAAAAAAGTATTAGAACATTAGTTGGAGAAAAACAGGGGAAAAAATCCTCCAGATGTTACAGATGTCACAGTTCACAAATATTAGATGTAAAAGTGTGACCACAATCCTGATCAATACTGTGATAAAGTTGATCCATTGATCATCAGAATGATCCAGTTCTCTGCTGCAGTCAGTCAGAACATTTCCATAGAGAGACACTTTGCATCAGCAGCACCATGCTCCAGTGCTCTGGGACACTTTATAGTCCTGAGAGTTGAAGAGTGGACGACCCACAGCTGTCCTTCCAGACAACAGGAGACACAGAAATCGTCCTCATCACCAACATGACTTTGAATTTCATCCTCATCTCAACTCTGCTCTGCTGCTGCTGCTGCTTCACAGGTAAAGTCTCCTGTCCTCTGTCAACATCTGTCCCTCTGAAATGAAGTGGACCAAACCATGACACTGCTTTATGTCTCTGTGTCCTCAGAGTCCAGTCAGGTCACAGTGACTCAGCCTGCAGCAGTGACATCTGCTCTAGGACAATCTGTCACCATCACATGTAGAACCAGTCAGAATGTTTATGTCTCTGGCAGTACTCACATTTTATCCTGGTATCAACAGAAAGATGGAGAAAAACCTAAACTCCTTATTTACTATGCTTCCACTCGAGCATCAGGAATTCCAGATCGTTTTACAGGCAGTGGATCAAACTCTGACTTTTCTCTGACCATCAGTGGAGTCCAGGCTGAAGATGCTGCAGTTTACTACTGTATGAGTTTTCACGTCATCAACAGTCAATATGTGTTCACACAGTGAAAAAGCCTCGTACAAAAACCTCCCTCAGTCAGACTGAACAGGAACTGAAGTCAGACTGATACTGTTACTGAAGACACACTGCAGTCATTTGATGAAGTTCAATGAAACAGTTCTCTTAAGTTAATGTGATGAACAAAAACAAATATGAACTATAAAAATAATCAAGTTTTATGTTTCAAACTCAACTCAGTCATCAGTTTATTCAAAACTAAGACAAAAACTCAGTGGATACAGGACAGGGGAGAAACAACAGGATCTCAGCAAGAACACTAGGACTGAACTAGATCAACAGGGTATGACCACAACAGACACTGAACACCACACTGAGAACAATGAACCCACAAGGACTGAGTGAGGGACAGAGGTATATATACCCAGGCCACCAGGTGACACCAGTGAGACTGATGACAGAGACACAGGTGACTGTGATGACACTGATTAACTCCACACACAGGAGGGAAGGGAGACAGACAGACCTCACATTTTCCATTTCAATCTTTAGAAAATAGTTGTGTAGAAATCCAAATGCCAACACAGTGAGTTTTATATCACTTAAATGGGATTAAAGTCAATTTTCCATCAAACTAGAATTGTATCAGTTCATGAACAAACTTCTGTTTAGTTTTAATTAGAGAGTAAAACCAAAGTTTTGAACAAATGATCTCATTCAAACATTAATATGAAATATTTGAATTACCAAAAGAACTCCAAAGTTATTTTACAACATTGAATGTAGTTGAAAACCAATCTTCAACTTCTAAACTTTGTTGATCTTTATTATTTTTAATGATTAAAATCAGTATTTAAGTGAAAACTCCTTCAAACCATGTTGATTTAAATATAAACATTTAGTTTCTTTTCATTCATTCTCTTCAACTTCAACACTTTATCACTGAATCAACCTGTATGCTGATGACATCATATAATACATGACAAAACAATTTAGAATGAATCACAAAAATCTTTATTTCTTTTTCTTAGACACTGAAAGACTGAGCATCATAACCAGCAGAAATGAATCCTTTTTAGAAGTTTTCTTTTTCTAATTCTTGTTAAAAGACAGAAATGCAGAGAAGAGAGTAAAACCAGGAGCAGAGTCTCAGAGAGTCAGATCAGGACTGAGAACACTGGTTTGTCCACAGTGTCTCTGTGAGTGGAGTGTGGGAGCCCTGGGTGGCCTCACAGGTCACAGTGGTCACCTTCATCCACTGGTCAGCAGGGAGCCTCAGCGTGCTGCTCCAGCTGTAGTGGCCGTCCTTCTCCATCAGCCCACGGCTCCTGCTCTCCTCCCAGCTGCTGCTGCTGCTGATACCGCCCACCTTCCAGGACAGAGTCCAGTCTGAGGGGAAGCCCTTGTTGGCCAGACACGTGAGCGTGGCCTTACCCTGCTGCAGCTCCTGGCTGGAGGGAGGCAGCACTGTCAGGGTGGGGGGGGCAAAAACTGTAGGAGACAGCAGTCACTTTAGAGGACAGTGAGGAGACAGATGTCAGTCCAACAACACACACCCAGACACATTTCCTGTGTGAGAGCTGATTTAATGCTTCATTAGTTCTTGGTTTCACTTCCTTTAAAAAGATTCTCTGAGCAACAAGAAAGATTCATCTGAAATACTTTGAAATACAAAAACTTAACTCTAGTGAATTTCTTCCTTTTTGTACTAATATAAGAAAATTAAATAAACAGTTTTTT